AAACACCCACATTTGAAAAGGTATGCTTTGTGTAGCATTGCCTCTTTGGGGGAGTCTGAAATTGCTGGTTGCACTGAAGTTGTATTTTTATAAGATGCAATTCTTGAAATGCATTCCAATCTCCTCTTGCCCACAAAAAAAGTTAAGGATTTAAATACTTTATTGGTTGCTCTTTAATTTGCAGTTCAATTAGCAGTAACTAACATCAGATTCTGAGTTAGAGGTTTCTAAAATGTGTTATAAAGCTTTGAGTTGTGCTTAAAAGGTACTCTACTGTTAAACTTGCTAAGAATTTCTTTTTGTATGACCTCCATGTTCTAAAGCACAGCTCTGTAACTTTTGGCCTAATACACCAGAAAGATGGATGAAAAATACCAAGCAATTCAAGGGTCTTTTCCTAAAAATGTATATTGGATTTATAGTGAAAAGTAGGAGTCTTTTAAGTCCTGGACCTAGGTGTAGTTGAGGGATTCATTCATCAGGAGTTTTTTGGTGAGCACAGTCTTTCCTAGAAGCATCCAGAAAATACCTTACAATGTGCAACTGCAGCCTGATTTCCACCAAGTGTTGCTGAAGTAGAAATGTCATATCCAAAAGCAAGCTTGGGGCTGATTTCTGTAAGAAATTGACTTGCACTTCAATACTAACAAATGTGAAATTTTTTGCTGAATTGCTTAGTAGGAACATAAAGTAAGGCATGCCTTCAGTGGGTGTGCTGTATCAAATTCAGTCTTGCAGTGTTTACTTAGTTACTGAAATCTTCCTGTTTGAAGAAGTCAAATTTACTTCAGCAGAAGAGAAAACCATATTGCTTATTCAAAACAGCTTGTCAATTATGTTTCTTATTAAAAATGTCCAAACATATGAACTCCATAGTGATTTCAGTGCATTACTGAGAGAAGCTGAAAAAAGCTGGTGAACCTGATCTGAAACATTACTTGTTAGAAAATAACTTGGAGCAGAAGTCACCCTTTCAAAAAGTAGTAACCATATTTCTACTTGCAGGAATGGATTCCGTGAGGGAACCACGCCGAAGCCCAAGAGAGCAGCTGTTGCAGCCTCCAGTTCATCATAAAGATACATGTATTTGTTAAAATAAATTGTCTTATCCAGAAAATGTCACCTTTTGTACATGTTTTACTTCAGGGAAGCATGGGATTCCTAAAAATACATGTATTTACACACACAAATTGTTGATGGTATGCACTGAAGCAATTAATTGACTTTTCATTTGATAGCACCTCCACCTTGAAAAGGGCCATTATCTCTGTGCTGAATTTAAAAAGAGGGTTATATGTGTTACTCAAAAGAACTTGCCTGCAAGAGAAATGGAATGTTGGCACTATGGACTGAGTTTCATTGTGCCCTAGCATGGAGAGTCAGAATTTATTGCAAAGATGGTAACTTGACCAATGTCTCTAGGTACTGATCTGGGAGGAAATTGCTTAAGAGGAATTCCCAGTCTTAGCCAAGATTCACTGTTTTGTGGCTCTGAAAGGCCTGCAAAAGTATTGCCTATTCACTGGGTCATTGTTTGGGTAAAAAGAAACTGCCAAGTCTGGAGCATGCATACTGCCAGGCATGAAGGGACTGGAGATTTGTTATTCACAGAAACACAGAATATGCTGAGTTGGAAGGGACCCGCAAGGATCACCAAGTCCAACTCCTAGCCCTCCACCCATTCCCAAGAGTCATACCATGTGCCCAAGAATATTGTCCAAATGCTTCCTGAACTCTGTCAGGCTTGATGCTGTGACCACTTTCCTGGGAAGCCTATTCCAGCATCCAAGGAGCCTTTGAGTGAAGAACCATTTTCTAATATCCAACCTAAGCCTCCCCTGACACAACTTCAGGCCATTCCCTCAGGGTCTGTCACTGGTCACCACAGGGAAGAGATCAGTGTCTTCCCCTCTTCCCCTCATGAGGAAGTTGTAGACTGAGATGAGGTCTCCTCCAGGCTGAATAGACCAAGTGACCTCAGCTGCTCCTCATATGGCTTCCCCTCAAGGCCCTTCACCATCTTTGTTGCCCTCCTTTGGACACTCTCTAATATCTTAATATCTTTCTTATATTGCAAAGACCAAAACTGCACACAATGTTCAAGGTGAGGCTGCCCCAGTGCAGAGTAGAGCGGGACAATCCCCTCCCTTGCCTGGCTGGTGATGCTTTGCCTGATGCCCCCCAGGACACAGTTGGCCCTCCTGGCTGCCAGGGCACACTACTGACTCATATTCAACTTGCTGTCGACCAGGACCCCCGGGTCCCTTTCCATGCAACTACTTTCCAGCACCTCATTCCCCAGTCTGTCCATACATCCAGGGTTGCCCCATCCCAGGTGCAGAATCTGACACTTGCCCTGGTTGAACTTCATATGATTGGTGATTGCCCAGTCCTCTGATTTGTTGAGGTCTCTCTGCAGGGCCTCCCTGCCTTCAAGGGAGTCAACAGCTCCTCCGAGTTTTGTGTCACTAAGCAAACTTGCTTAGTATCTCTTCCAGTCCTGCATCCAAGTAATTTATGAAGATGTTGAAGAGCACAGGGCCTAAATGGAGCCCTGTGGAACCCCACTACTGACAGGTTGCCAGTCTGATGTCACCCCAGTCACTATTACCCTCTGTGCTTGATCCATGAGCCAATTGCTCACCCAGCACAGGATGTGTTTATCCAGCTGCAGGCTGAACAGTTTGTCCAGAAGGATCCTGTGGGAGACAGGATCGAAAGCTTTACTGAAATCCAAAAAGGTTACATCAACTGGCTTCCCTTGATCAACCAGGTGGGTTACCTTGTCATAAAAAGAAATCAGGTTTGATATGCAGGACTTTCCTCTTGTGAAGCTGTGCTGGCTGTGACCAGTGACTGCATTGTCCTTCAGGTGTTTTCAATACCTCCCAGAATAATCTTCTCCATAACTTTACCAGGTACTGAAGTGAGACTGACAGGCCTGTACTTTCCAGGGTCCTCCTTCTTGCCCTTCTTGAAAATTGGGACAACGTTTGCCAGCTTCCAGTCAAGTAGTATCTCTCTGGATTCCCAAGACTGCTCAAAAATCAACGAGAGAGGTTTTGTGATGACATCATGTCTCGGTTTAAGGAGACTGAAGTGTTTTGCTTAGGAGGATGAGTTATGAGGTAGACCAAACTCCTCTCTCTCAGCAATTGTAAATCTGAAATTAAGAGGCTCCAATTGAGGAAGTATGGAAAAAGGAAGAAATAACAACCCTTTATTAAAGAATATATGTGTATTGGCAAAAACAGTAACAGAACACAAAAACAACTAAACAATAATCCTGTACCCAAAAGTCCCCCTCAAAAAGGGAACAGTTTGATACTTCTCTGTCCTCTAGCACAATTCTAATCACAGTTGGCAGGAGTGCTGTTGGATCATTGGAGGAGCAGAGCCTGCAGTGCTCAGTGTTGGTTGGCGCTGTTGGACTCTGGCGGTCGCTGCGTGAGGCCCCGGATCACGGGAGAAGCCGAAATGGAGATCTCCCCCCCCCCCACCGAGGAGGGGAAGGGGAAAAAGGGGAAAGGAGGGCGGTTTCTTTCCCATGAAACTCACGATGTCTGTGGCTGGCTGTGGTTGGGACTCCCCCCTTTCCTCGCCGAGCACAAACTCTCCGATGAAATCTGAGCAGGTCTGGCTGGCGACAGAGCAGACCGTAGGCAAGCCGAGGCCAGAGAACAGCCAGATGACCAGGTCGAGAGCAAAATGGCCTCAGAGATTTTCCAGCACACATCTTGCCCCCGTTAAGGCAAAAAAAAATGAAGTGCCCCCGGTTTGCAAGGAGAGGAGGAGAAAAACTCTTCCCCCCTCCCTACAGTTTTGGAAGGGCCATCAGCCTGGAATGCAGGTCTGCCAGCTAGTTCTTTTGTATATCAATTACCCCTTCCCCCTCCCTTGTTCAACATCCTTCTTTTACAGCAGGACAGGGGAAAGGAAAATTTCTGCTTGGATTTTTAGAACAAGTAAACCTATGACACGTCAGAAGCTCTTTGAGGATTCTGGTATAAACCCCATCAGGCCCCATAGATTTGTAGGGATCCAGCTGGAGCAGCATATCCCGCACAATTTCAGGGTCAACAGGGAGTGGATCATTCTCGCAGTCATGGTCCTGCAGCTCAGGGCACTGAGACCCCCTTGGCCCACCATTCGTGTTGAAGACAGAGGCAAAGAAAGCATTAAACGTCTGCCTTGTCTCTGTCCCTGTTTGTGAGGTGACCATCCTTATCCTCTAATGGGCCAATGATATTTCTATACTGCCTATTGCCATTGGTATATTTGAAAAAAATGTTTTTATTGTCCCCCACATTTCCGGCAGCTTCAACTCCAGTTGAGCTTTGGCTGTACGAATTTTTGCCCTACAGTGGCAAGCAGGATCTCTGTATTTTCCCCATGTCACCTGACCTTGATTCCACTGGGCATACAGCTTCCTTTTTTGCCTTATTTCCAAGAGAAGATCCCTGTTCAGCCAAGCCGGCCTTCTGCCTCACCTCCTTGACTTCCGACATTTGGGAATTGCCTTCTCCTGTGCCCTTAGGAGATGATGTTTGAAAAGTGACCAGCACTGATGGACCCCAGCACCTGCAAAAACGTTTTTCCAGGGGACCTTATTCACTTGTTCCCTGAGCAGCCTGAAGTCTGCTCTCCTCATGTCCAGAGTTGAGGTTTTGCTGGCACATTTCTGTTGGAGGATGCAGAAATTGTGTGAACAATTTCTATTGCATTTCTGCGACCTTTGGCATGGCTGGGTGCAGACAGTAAAAAAAATACTACGCCACTAATATGGCTGCAGGCCTTGTGCCAAGGTGAAGGAGGAGTTCTTTTGGCAGGAAAACAAGTTTTATGGACACCTGCTGTGGTCCAATTAGTACTGTACAACACAGTATGTTTTCCTTATGTACCCAATGTGGCCTGGGAAAGAATCACGTCTGTGTGTCATAGCAGTATATAAGCTGTCTTTCTTCTAATAAAGCTGACATTTTTGCTGACCATAATGGCCCATGAGCATTTGTCCATACCCCTCCGCCGATACTTTTCCTCCTGTCAACAGAGATTTTAAACTCGATCGCTTCGTGGTTGCTGTGGCCAAGACGGCCACCAATCTCCACTTCGCTCATGAGATCCACTCTGTTGACAAGTAGCAGATCAAGGAGGGCATCTTTCTGAGTCGGCTCCCTTAGGACCTGTTCCATAAAGTTTTCATTCAGATTTTTTAGGAATCTTCTGATCCAGATTGTACCAGCTGTGTAATGCTCCCAGTTAATGTCTGGCAAGTTGAAGTCCCCCAATAAGGCAGAGACAGAAGTTACCCAAATGGTCTGGGAAGGTCAGTGTGGAAAGTTGACACAAATAGATCAGAGTTAATTATAGAATTAATTAGTGAAAGGACTAGAGCACAGGTCTTATGAGGAGCAGATGAGGGAGCTGGGTTGTTTAGCCTGGAGAAAAGAAGGTTCAGAGGGGACCTTATTGCTCTCTACAACTCCCTGAAAGGATGTTGTAGCAAGGTGGTGTTTTGGTCTCTTCTTCCAGGTAACAAGTGACAGGACAAGAGGAAATGGCTTCAAGCTGCACCAGGGGAGGTTTAGATTGGATATTAGGAAAAATTTCTTCACTGAAAGGGTGGTCAGGCATCGAAACAAGCTGCCCAGGGCAGTGGTGAGGTCACCACCCCTGGAAGTGTTCAAAAAATGTGTGGATGTGGCACTTGGGATCATGGTTTAGTGGTGGACTTGGCAGTGCTGGGTTGAGTGTGACTCGATGATCTTGGAGGTCTTTTCCAACCTAAGTGATTCTATTATGGGTGTAAACATTAAATGGTAGGTAATATGATACAGAAGTCAGTGACTTGGGAGTACGTTTGAATTATGGATTGATAAACTTGCACCCTACATGGTGTGTTACTGGGTCACTCAGCTGGCTCTCCAACTCAGCTTTAAAAAAAGTGATCATAAGATGCTGTTATGAAAGTTTTGGGAATTTAGAAGATAGTAATCACTGCAAGGTTTTAGAGGATTTTCAGATGCCTTAGAGAGAAAAAACTTGACAGACACACCCCCCCCTTCCCCCCCCAAAAAAAACCAACCAACAAACCACCACCAACTTCTGATACTTTCAGCTTCTGAGGCTGTTCTATAATTCCTTTGGTTTCATCATGAATTTCCAAAAGTAGCATACTGCTTTGTCAGTACTAAAGGATCAGCAGTCAACAAATGTATCAGCTTGTGCAGATCACTGAAGAAATTTTCAGCCAGGTTTGAAATTGGGGTTCCCTTGACTGCACTTTCTTATACTTTAAATGCAGTATAGTTAATACTTTTGGATAATTGAGTGTATCTACTTAGGCTCTTTCTAAACAACAAGAGAAATCTTGTCCTGCTGTTGTCTTAGCATGTAACAAATATATTGTACTCACTCTGCTTTTAATTGGTCCTTCTGAGAGTCTGAAAGTAAGTGGTATTGAAGCTGTTAAGTTAAAAATACATTTTGTACACATTACATGCATTTTTTTTGCATCTGGTGCCCCCCCAAAGTTGAGGTGTCCACCTCAGTTCTGAGCAGGCACCGCATCGTTGTTTTTCACCACAGAAACTGTAACGTTTGTTTTTTATCTTATTTGGGTACACAGAGCTCAGCTTACATCATGTTTGCTTGAGTCACATCCCTTATCTAATTCTCTAGAACTTCTCTAAGATTATATTGTTCCTTATTTGGCCATAGCAGAATGTTGTGAGCAATGTTCTATTTCTCCTATCAATTCCAACCCCTTAACATTCTATGATTCTATGTATAGAATTATTACCATACACAGTCTGTAATATGTTTTATGAAATATGCTTTTGCATACAATTTCTTATTAAATCTTTCAGATTTTTTTCTTCCACAGTAATGAACAGATGGGTTTTAATTTTTTGTCGCATTAGGTTAGGGGGATGCTTCAACATATAAAGATTTTTCAGGGATCAGAATTTGTTTCCCAACTTTCTGTTAAATTCATGACTGTAACATAAGTAATACTGAATGTTGTCTGAATCATATTTAAGACTATTACTAGAAAAAAAGTTTTTAAACTTCCTGATGTCTGCTCATTTAAAAATCTTTATATTGTTTTTGTAATATATTTATCTGTTTGCAAACACATTCTTAGGATAGGCAAGAGAAAGCATTTTAGTTTATATCATTCACTTAGTCTGGAGAACTGGGGAAAGAAGGTGAAGGGATGGGAGTTGCTTGTAACCTTCCTCTCGAGTTGATGATCTCTTCATGCAAAAATATTCATCCAATTGTCACTCCAGTTTCATATGTTTCTTTGAAGGTAGGGTTGGAAAGTGATTAAAAAATAATCCGGGTATAGTCAACAATAAAAGAATATGATCATTGATATGTAGAAAGCACACAATGCATGAATGGAAGGAAGGCTACAGCCCTAAATTCAATGTGAATGAATGAGTTAGCAAGACAAACTGAAGGATAGATTATCTGGTCAAAGTAGTAGGAGTTAAGAGGGTCCTAAGGCTCTTCATATTCCCACAATAGGGTCTGGATTTGGACCTAGGTAGAGGAAGGGAGAAGGGGGAGGAGAACTAACACATTTAATTTACAAGGTTAACTGGAAATACAGAAACTTGGCATGTCTGTTTTTTGTGAGTGGCTGTTTTCTGTCATAGGATCCCAATACTCATTTTTTAGTATGACTGGTCTTCTGGCCGCTTATGCTTCTGAATTACCTTACTGAAGGAACAGACTGGTGTTTGCTTATGTGAAAGCAAGGCAGAGAGATGAAAACATGGCGGCCCCAGCTTGCTTCATCTTAAAATGTCACAGACCTTTCTTCACCACTGAGCATGGGTGGTTTAGAAATAGTATGCTCCCTGTGCCTGGATGCTACTCCTCACGTGGCATGGCAAAATGGGTTTGGCCATCAGCCCTCAGCATTGCTGGCCGAGCCAAGCATATCAGCAGTAACTGCATCTTGAATGGACCTTTAAATTGTGATATGCAACACACCGCATTATTAGTGCCTGAAACCCGGCCTGCATGTGGGTGTACAGCTGCCACCCCTGCAAGAGCTGCTGCCTGCTCTCCCACAGGCAGTCCTTGCAGTGAGCAGTGGCACCCCGTGGCTGTGGCAATGCAGACAGCCTATCAATCTCATTGTGATATCACGATTTCTCAATTAAAAGTATGCCTATGTTCGACACATCTCCTCACTTTAGCATCGGGAAGGGCAACCCGTGCTGTGGGGAACGCTTAGCCCTAGCTTCCCGCTGCCTGCGGGCACAGGCCTCGCGGGTGATTGCAGTGCCAGCCAGCAACACGAGAGGCTTCAGCTTCCAGGCGATGCCGCTTGACACCGGTAGCCCTAGGCCAGCTCCTCGCACCGCGCCGGTGCTGAGGGGAACACTGCCGCCGAGAAGCGCCCTGCGCCCGCCTTTCCCCCCGTTCCCGAAATCCATGTGAATCTCCAGTATTTTTCGGGGAAGGTGGTGGCGTAAAAACGCCCCGGCCCCCCTACTCCGCCCCACAACCTTCGGGGACTGTTTCTCCCATCCTGCCGCCTTGCCCTGCCGGCAGGGCCTGCCTGCAGAAGCCTCGCCCCTCAGGGCGCCGCTAACCCCACCTAGCCCTTCCCCACCGAACAGCAAAGGTTTGTTCCCGGGGAGGGCAGGAAAGTGATAAATGCTGAGTTCACTTCCAGGTTTTGGGTGGGTTGCTCCTCCTCCGCTAGTACTGTGGCACGGGCGCGCGCTACGAGCAGGCTCGGCCCTTGGCTCAAGATGGCGGCGGCGGCGGATAAGCAGAAGCACGAACACGGACGGGTGAAGATTGGGCACTATATCCTGGGCGACACGCTCGGCGTCGGTACCTTCGGCAAAGTCAAGGGTGAGTAACGGGGAGTGGGGCCTTCGCCTTCCCCACGGAGCGGCACGGCTGCGGGAGGTAGCGCGCTGGGGGGGGTATTTTGGGCCGAGCAGCGGAGTCTCCGTTGCCGGCTGAGGGACGCGGCCGCCTGCGGCCGCCTCACGATGGCCGGTCCTCTGGGGCTGGGGTCAGGTGACCGTTGAGGCCTGTCCGGGGCTGGGGGGCGTTTTGGGGCTGGGCTGCTGCCCTAGTTCGGGCTTGGTCCCGCTCTGTTTCCCGCTCAGAGTGTTGGGGGGGGGAAGGGAGTAGGGGGTCTGAGTTTCGTTGGGGGCGGTACCCGGCCGTACCCGCCAAGCTGGGTAGGTCACCGGGATATGGCGGGCCTAGCACCGGGGGCCTACGGGGGCGGTGGGAAAGGGGCTGGGGAGAGCGACTGTAGGGTTGACGTGTTTTCGGGGCAACCGCTAGAAGGCTGTTAACTGGAGCCTCGCCCCCAGACGCGGTGGCTACAGGGTAGCGGCCAGGGGCTATATTCTGAATGCCGTCGACCGGGCGTGGTGTTGTGGAAATAGCGTCTGGTATGCTGTGAACGTCTTTCAGGAAAGGGGAGTTGTATTAGTTGACCTTTTGGGGGTTGAGACTTGCAATGGGAAATAATCGCTGGAGGAGCAAAATTTTTCTCTTCTGTATTTATGGAAACAATTCTTGGAAGCTAATTATGCTGCATTTATTTAAAACATCATCGGATATGTAATGAAAGTAGGCAGTCTTAATTCTTGAGCTGTCTGTATGCTTTGCTGCACAAATATTAATACTTGATGCCCTTATAAGGAAGACAAGCTTTCTCCCTCTATAAGGGGAGAAATAAGCATAATAAGATGGGCCTGAGATTATTGGATTAACTAGCAACACAGCTGACACAGATGTGAAAAGACTGTGCTAAAAACGGTTGACCAGTGATTTTCAAAGGGGCCCTTTTCAGCACAGACTTAAACAGCTTTTCCCAGTAGGGGTGCAGATGCCTTGCAGTAAGCTTGAAGCCTAGTAGAAATAAAATAAAAATTAAACTCTCCCTTGATGCCATTCACCACAGGTGAAAAAACTCTGTATTATCTTAAACTATTCCTGTTGTGTTGTTTGTGAGAGTTGTTGAAATATTGGGGTATGCAAATTGAAAACATTGTTTCATAAATGAGTTAGACCAGATTCAGGTTGTGTTCTTAAAATAAGTTTGTGGGGTTTTTTATGGTTAACCTAGTGGATTGCTCATGTACCTAGTATAACCAGTAAAAAACCTATTGTATCCAATGCGTTAGCTATCTTTTAACATATCTTTTTTTCAGCGTAGATGTTCCTATTGTCCATTCTTTGTACAAGCTCTTTCAACTATTGGCATGTTCTGAAGAAATGACTAATGTTTCAGCAGTCTGTTACCATGTTTCATTTCAAATTTGCCTCCTTTAAGTTTAAATTCTTTCTCCCAGAATTAGCATTGGATTAGGGGCATCTCTTTGTATGATTGAAGAAAGTGAGTGAAGAGCATAGATTTTCCTCTCTAGAAATTGAAAGTGATGTCCTGGACAGTGCTCTGCATAATAGCAGAACCAAATTGTACCTGGAAGTTGCTTCTTAACTTCTGGCATGCTATAGAAGATAGTTTTAGAGTGAAATATATTCCTATCTAGGAAAGCAGTGGAAGAATATCTTGAGACTAAAGCCTGTTGACTCCTGGTTGGTTTTTTTCAGAGCTGGCTTATAAAGTGACTCCACCACCCCCAGCCGATGGGGAGCAGTGTGTGAGCCAGCATAGATAGGATGCAGGAACAACCACAAAATCACAGCTGAAGTGCAAAGAGTATATTTATTTTCATTACCTCATCAACTGGGAGATCCCCAAAGCAACACCTGGGCAGAGGCACACAAGCAGGGATGAAGGCACCACAGAGCTCAGTCCAGGCTGGAGGATCACTGACCCTGCTGTTTTCACCTGTTTATCATGGATTTGCACAGACATAGTTTACCACTGTGCTTTGGTCTTTCCTACTGCAGGGCAGGAATCAGCATGTTTGGTAGGGTGCCTCTTAAGTTTATCACAGGCCTATTTTATCTAAACACAGATGTTCTATTTGTCAAACACAGAAGGCTAAACAACAATAAACACGATATATGTATTTTTCTACACCTCAGTTGCAGGTCACTTGAGCATGTTTGCAATCCTCATTGCCAATCTTCTGTTATTTTTCCACGTCCCACCCTCTTGCTCAAGGGGCAGTTTCCACTGGGGCTGGCAAAGCTGGAGGTGTCCATTTGAGCTTGTTGGGTGTAGGGTAGTGTCATTTACAGGGGCATGTAATATATAGAAAAAGGAATAAACATATTCATACAATCATAAAATCATAGAATGCCCTGGGTTGGAAGGGACCTTAAAGGCCATCTAGTGCCAACCCCCTTGCTGTGGACAGGGACACCTTTCACTACACCAGGTTGCTCCAAGCCCCATCCAATCTGGCCTCGAACACTTCCAGGGATGGATGCCACAACCTCTCTGGACAACCTGTTCCTGTGTCTCACCACCCTCACGGTAAAGAATTTCTTCCTAATATCTAATCTAAATCTACTCTCAGTTTGAAGCCATTCCCTCCTGTCCTGTCACTACATGCTCTTGTAAAAAGTCCTTCTCCATCTTTCTTGTTGGCTTGCTTCAGGTACTGGAAGACCACAGTTATGTCACCCCAAAGCCTTCCCTTGTCCAGGCTGAACAATCCCAGTTCTCTCAGCCCTTCCTCATAGGAGAGGTGCTCTATCCCTCTAATCATCTTTGTGGCCTCCTCTTGCTCCAACAGGTTGATGTCCTTCCTGTGCTGGGGACCCCAGAGCTGGATGCAGCACTGCAGGTGTGGTCTCATGAGAGCAGAGCAGAAGGGCAGAATCACCTCCCATGCCCTGCTGCCCATGGTATTTTGCTGCTGCCCAGGACACGGTTGGCTTTCTGGGCTGCAAGTGCACACCTTGCACTTGGTCTTATTAAATCTCATGAGATTTCCATGGGCCCACTTCTTGCACTTGTCCAGGTTCCTCTGGATGGCATCCTGTCCTTCAGGTGTGTCAACTGCACCACTCAGCTTGGTGTCATCTGCAAACTTGCTGAGGGTGCACTCGATCCCTTTGTCTATGTCGTTAATGAAGATATTAAAAAACACTGGTCCCAGTACAGACCCCTGAGGGGCACCGCTTGTCACTGATGTCCATTGGGACTCTGGGCTGTTGACCATGACCCTCCGGATGTGACCATCCAACCACTTTCTTATGCATCTCCCCATCAAATCCATCACTCTACAATTTGGAGAGAAGGATGTTTTGGGGAACTGTGTCAAAGGCTTTACAGAAGTCCAGATAAATGACATCTGTAGCCCTTCTCTTGTCCACTGATGTAGTCACTCCATCATAGAAGGCCACTAGGTTGGTCACAATAGTTCTTTGAATCAGGTGTCCCACTGTTTTGCAGACAGGCAGGGTACTCAACAAAACAACTGCAGACTAGTCATTGTATAATATGAACAGTTTATTAAACAAGCACAGTAAAATGAATGGGATATATATATAGTACAAAAGGAAATTAGCATTGCATCAAATCATTACTGTGTAGAGAGAGAGAACAGTGATTAAGAAGAAATATGTCACCACTTAGCACCTAATGCTCAACATCCAGGCCCACACTTCAGCTGGGAAGCCCCATTGCAGCTGATGCCAGGAGTCTCTGGTAGCTGGGAGAATTCCTACGTGGCATGTCCACCCATAGGTGAGGCTTCAGATCAGTTACAAGAGGGTCCCGCTTTTTATACGCTTAGAAACAAAACTGGCTTTATGCCAGGTCTGTAACTATCCATCCGTGTGGACATGCAGTTTCTCATGATCTTGAAGTTGGCCATACCTAGAGCATTGGCCACGTGCCCTGGCATGGCCAAATGTGGAGGTCATGGAACAGCTGCACACGTTTCCTACCTTTTCCCAACATATAGTCATAACAATTATATACTTTATTGAATACACTTTATCAAAGACATACTTTATCATGTTTCTCATAGTCATGAGTGGGGGTCAATTCTCAGTTAAGTTCTTATCCATTACACTCATCCTGCCAGGGAATTAAACCATTCAGCTGGCCAAGCACCACCAGTAGATTGTTTCATTTGATGCAGTAAGTCCTGGAGACATTGAATGTTGTCCTCTATGGTGGCTGATTCATCAGTTACATTGAAGCGACACATGCCTTCAAAATTGGAGCAGTGTTTATGGTGTTGAAGAAGGAGACAGTCCACCACCACCTGATTTTGTAATGTTCCTTGGCATACAGTCATTACCTACTAAGAAAGAATAACAATGAGGAACATTAATATCAAAAGCACTTACATGGTATAATTCTGTAATATAGCTATTGGGATTGGCACACCAATGAAACATGTTTTCAAGAGATCTGCAGCTGTTAATCCTCCCTCAATACAAAAGGCAGACAAATTAGTTACAGTAGAGGCCAACTGAATTCAAGTATTTGCATGTTGATCTCACAGAAATATATCCAGTGCATGTGCTTGTAGTACAAGACTACAAAGCATGATGAGCCAACCTTGTGTTAAGGGAGGAAAACAGGAATGTAATTTCCTTCCTGTAATACATATGCTGTTGCTCCAGCTCCTTCAGCTACTATTGCTCTGGGTTTGATAACCTGATGTGGGGTAATTGCCCATACAGATTGAAGAGCTTCAATTTGATGTTGGGTTTCTGACACCAGTAACACTGTTCAAATGCTATCTCCTCTAGATAAAGCACAGTTATTCATTGAAGATACCCTAAATACAAGAACTTGAGAATCTGATATCAACAGAGGATGTAAAATAAGAGAAGTTGGGGTACAGAACCATATGACATTCTAGGGGGTTATTCTATGAATCTTCATGTCTAGACTATTAGGTTGCAGTCCCACCATGCAATCTGCTGGTGTAAACAATTTCCTTTGCCCTCTA